CTGTTCGATCCAGAAAGGAGGAAAAACTTAATCAGGGTAAATGGACAACGTGTGTATTAAAATGGATCCTCTGCAAACCCAGCATATCTTGAAATACTTCTAATGCCACAAGGGATGGCCAGCTCCTCTTCTAGTCCAGTTAAACTGGAAACAGGTAGTCACTAGTATCTTAGAAAAGAGGAAAACCAGGAAGACTGTAGAATTCTTATGAAAGTAATGGGGTTTTTTCTAATATTCCAGTTAAATTTACAGTTTAAGAGAAGCTTTAAAGACTTCAGCTGAGAAGAATCATTATAAACTTCTTGCTGTAAAACCATGAAATACATCCTTTTTTTTTCTCTGAAATGTGGTATAATTTTCTGTAGAACTTCAGAGAATGTTACGACATGGTGCATGCACATGCAAGATGCTTAGTGGGTTATTTCTCTGGTCTTCTCCCATGCAAATGCAGTTGCTACCTGGAACTCCCAGACAGTAATTTAAAGTTTCAGATTTGTGGAATTACAGGCTCTTAGAACACTAATCTTTTCAAAAGCACTACCTGTAGTAAGCAAGCTGAGTTGCAGCCTTTTCCTTTCCAAAGGAAATACATTTTTACTCCAGTTATTTCCTTGCAGCACAGTTGCTTGTCCCACTCGTTTCAGTGAGTACAACAGTGTGTCTGTTTCAGCACCAAGAGATCGTTACTTCGGAAACAAAATTGAATCAACTCTAAAATTTACTTGATGTATTAATATTCATATGCAATTTATCTCAAAGATTTGCCAATTTTAGAAGTCCTGTACATAAGGTATTGAAACAAATGTTTAAAATTGATACTCCCTTTTTGTCCACAGTTTTCAGTTGTACCAGAAAGTACTCGTGAGTAGTTCTGCTGTGCTAACTAGAAGTCTGTGAGACACATCACATGTTGTCTCACTGAACCAACACAATCTGGATACAGCTTTTCATCCTGGAAGACTCCTTTTCTTGTCAGTCCTACCTAAAAGACAAGCACCTGATTGATGACTCTGCTTCACAAGTGAGACTATTTCCAGCAATGCTAGAACTCAAAGATGGACCATCATGTTACACAAATACCAAGTTATAGTAACTATAGGCTCTCAAAAAGTCACCTGGAATTAAAAACAAAACAACACAAAATAACAAAACCCAACAAACCACAAAAGGACAGAACACAGAAAAATCTGGAAGCATTGTTTTAACTCTACCACATGAAGATGACTAGGCAGTATATTTTTTAGTTGATCCTGTAAGAATACATATGAAGAGCACCTTTGAAGAAATGGCAAATCTTCACTCAATATTCAGATCATAGCAGCAGAGAACACAGTATATTTAGGAAGACTTGTAGCAAGCAACAAAAACCTGTGTTTAGAGTTCTGTGTTGTACAGATAATGAAATCCTCTAACAAGCTACACAACAAAGCAATAGCATTCAGATCAGATTTTTTTTTTTTTAAACAACAAACTCTTTTTAGGTGATATTTGAAGACCCAAAAGGTGTTTCTGCACAACTCTTAAAAAACACGCACTCATTTGTCACAGAAGTAAAACTTGCATTACATATTTGACGCTTATTTTGGAAAAGTAATCCTTCAAACATATTATAAACCAACTCAGACATCTCCTTGCACACACAGTTACAGTTTCTCTCACTACTCATATCTGTTTCATACTTTAACAAAGGAAAATGTCTTGTTCAGAATGCAGTAACTGTGAAACTGTTAACAGCTCCCATCCCAACATAGCTGATAAGTATAGCTCCAAGAAGCAGCAGAGAAGGTATTTACTGAAGCTCTGAAAAGAAAGGACAGCAAACATGACCTCCTCGTTGCAGACACAAACTCGAAGGGAAAGGTTTCATGGATCCACCAACAACACATATTTGCATTAAAACTAGGATAAGCAGCATTCACGGATGTTAAAACCAGAAGATAAAAGTGTTACAATTCATTCTGAGCCAGACAAAACAGGACACAAAATTTCACCATAAGACCCCTTAACAAAAATAGTACAAAACATATTTTCATGACTTTCCTCTAAGTTCGAGTGAACCTCTCAGAAAAATGCTCAAAGATCAGGAGACAGAGAAAAAAGTCACTCTTCATTGCAAATGCCAAAAGAGACTGTTGGGATGATTAAATATTAACAGTCGCATACTACTGCTATCCCTCCCATTCATATGATAATATAACAAAATTTAAAACCTGTCTATAAAACTTGATTAAAATGTTACTTTGTCTTTTTGCAATACAATGCAAGGCTTATCCACATGCACAATAAAGGTACGATTTTCAAATTTAAAATTTACTGAAACAATGTAAAAAGTTGCATAGACTTCCAGTTTGCAAAGCATTTATTTTAGCTTAAAACAAGTCAATTTTACTGAGTTTTACAATGAATGAGCATTAGCTCCTTAAGACAGAATGGCTATCTAAATGGTGTTTTGAACTAGCTGAACTAATCCTATTTTAAACTGGATTTCAGATAAATCACAGCAATGATGATGTACATGACAAAGTCAGAAGACATTTCCCTGGGGTGGGATGGATGAGAAAGCAAAAACAAAGGACAAGGAATACAAGGAAGTAAAATAAGGAAAGATAAAGCAAAATACACTAAGCTACATGGAATAAGAGGGATGTGAGAAGTGGAATAATGATGCTAAAAGGCAACACTAGAAAAGATTTGCTACAATCTATTAAGAAATATAGGATGAACTACATAAAGAATGTTTATGAAAACTACATTTCCTAGTGTATTAAAATGTTTATAACTAAAAATGGCACAGAGTAAAACAGCGAACACTACCTCAATTGGTGTGAGGACATTGTGGCAATGGCATCAATATTTTCTATATCAGTAAGCTGTTCACAAATAGACTTCGGCTTATGAAGAGATACCTTTATAAATTATGAACCTTTTCAAACATTGGATTTCACCTAGTTATTTAGCATAATATATTCTAGGAATTAGGAAGTTGGGCAGAAAAAATGTAAAACTGAAAATACACAGGAAAAATCTGAAGTTCAAAGGCACTTTCTCCAAAATCTGCCTGGCTGAACACTCAAAACATGATTTGTAAAAGAAACACAGTTACAACATTATTCTTTCCATGAACACTATTCCTAGTATCACTGTAAGAACCTTATTCTAAATACAACAGCAAAAACACTGGTATCAGAGTCAAACATTTTCTTTCCTTGGAAAATATGTCCCAAGTTATTTGAGAGTATGTAAGAAATATATAACTTCAGAAAACAAAAAATACATTAAAAAACACTGCAGAAAAATTATAAACCTGACTTTAAAATGAAGGTGTTGCTCATGTGTGTGACACAGCTACCAGCATCAATGCCAATCAGGTAAAAGCCATTAAAACCTTTACACACATTACTAAAACTTTCTACAAAAATAACCACATTCAATCCAGACTAAAAAAAACATACTTCAGAAACATTTTAGAAAGCATACATGCACTGTACATGGCTCTGAGAGCTCTAAAATTACTGATTTTCTGCACATACAATTGTGTAAATTCAAAATCTATTCTTCCGAGACTAGAGCTGAATTCCACCAGGAAGTTTTCAGTATTCCCTATCAAGAACATGAAGGATTCATGTGAAATCTTTAGACTAAATAGACAATAAAGATATAATAATTTTACATCTAATTCTAGACACCTATTATTAGAAATTGAAATTTTGCCTGCTCTGAACTTCAAAGAGGGACAGGGGAAATATTCATATTTCCAGGATAAAGAGAAAACATTTAACAAGAAGGCTAATATTTTACAAATAAGTAATATATACCCTGAATTATTAAGTCTTTAAGAGTTAATACAAACAGGTTAGTAGATAGAGAACCGATGTAGCACAATAAAATTCATTATACAGATATCACATCTGTACACATGCACATATAGTTATACATTCACAAAGATGATTTCTACACAATTTCTTATCAGACCAACTATGTAAGAAAACACTCTAATCTCAAATTCATGATATACCTGGAACTGCATTCATAAATCACCCTGCATACACCTGAAATCCTCTCCCCCGTCACTTTATTTGTCTGTTCTGAGACACAACAACACTATAAACATAACTGTGTAAGAAATTTAAATACTTTAAATGCTAAACATTAAGAAAAGAACCCTGACCAGTTAGTAACATCGATTTCACAATGTAAAATTATCTACTAAAGTCTGAAACCAAAGAAGCCTAAGTTAGAACACCAAGACGAAACGCAATCTTATAAAAAAAGTGTTAAATCTGCAGAAGAGACAATGAACCAAATATCAAACCTACAAACTATTCTGAGTTATTTCCTGTCCATATTACTAATTTGAAAATGCCAGCCAATTGCTTACCAGCTCATTTCCTCTTTTGGCATACAACGGACCCTAGAGACAATAATGTCTGAATTCTCCTAAAGTCTGAACCTTTTTGTAAGCTTATTGTCACACAGCCTCAAGTGTGGAGGCTCCTCAAGAGAGTTGTATTTATAGCGTAAGAAAGGCAGATGTCAAAGCATGCCTTGGAAAACCTCACTTCAGCTCCAATTAAAAATACAAAAGAATCTCATGGTTTGTACACATAGTATTTCCCACAACTCTAGCACCATGTATTTAGTTATAGTAGTACCAGACCCTTATACAGATACACTTAAACCAGTTTAAATCATACATACAGCAGTTATGCTTCACTGGATAAATTACCAGGTTAAACTAATGTAGCTGAAGTATAGCTTAAGATGTTCCCACATTAGATACTTGCCCTGCAGTAAATAAATTGTTTCAGGTTCACTGTAGCAAGATTTCCAATAACAACAATCCCATAAACAAGTTTTGCTTTGTTCCTCAAAATTACCATATAAGCAAGCATGTAAACTAACTATCAAAAGTTTGCATTTAATTTCTAACCACAAAAGTAGCAATCTAAAAGAACAGCAGTGTGAAAGATATAATGCAATTAACATTAAAAAAATCTTACCTTTATTAGATTTGGATGACTTGTTCTTGTTAGGTTTAAAACAAGAGCCCCTTGATTTATCTTCTCTATCCTTAATAAATTTCTGCACATCATCCAAAGAAAGCTTTTGAAGGACAACTACAGGCTTAGCTCCTTTATTTAGATCTTCAACTAGCCCAATCTTCTCTACCTTGTCCTTCTGTTCACCTCTAAATTCAGTTTTCCTTGACTCCTGAGTAACATTGCCATCTTTATCACGCTTGATTTTTGGAATGACAAAATGTTTCAATGCGCCAGATCTTGCCCCCAACAAATAACTAGGAAACTCTGCTTTATTGTCAGCATGTGCTTTATTAGTATCTACTTTACTCTTATTACCATCTGTCCTTCGCTCATCCTTGCTGTTGGGTGATTTAAAACCAGGTTTATCAGGTCTTGATTTACTAGAATCTCCTTTACCTTCCTGCTTAATACGAGGGCTGTCAGGTCTTGATTTCTGATCCCCAAAAGAAAACCTTTCCCTTGATTCACCAGACTCGTGCCTATGTTTCCTTTCAAATTTCTCAGGTTTCAAACTATCAGATTTAATACCATGCTTAGAATCATGTTCATTTTTGTTTGAGGATCTCAAATATTCAGGCCTTCTAATCTTTGATGGGTCTCCTCTGTATCTCTCTGACTCCCCCCTGTCCTCAGATCTTTGTTTAAGGCTATCATGGTCACGCCTCGGTGTATCAGAAGCTGAACGCCCATCAGGCCTTTGTTTTGTTGGATCAGATCTACTTTCAGGTTTCACCCTTGAAGGATCAGATTTCACATCTAGTTTATGCCTAGGTATTTCAATTTTCTTATCCGACAATGGTTTGCTGGAATCCCTCCTATTATCATGTCTATGTTTGGGCGTTTCGGGCCTGCCTTCCATCTTCTGTTTCGGCGTTTCAGGCCGGCCTTCAATCTTCTGTTTCGGCGTTTCAGGCCGGCCTTCAATCTTCTGTTTCGGTGTTTCGGGCCTGCCTTCACTCTTCTGTTTCGGTGTTTCGGGCCTCTGTCTTATTTCCTGTTTGCCATTATTTTGTTTTCCCTCATTTTGTTTCACCTCCATTTGCCTGCTCTCATTTTGTTTAGATTCTGTCTGTCTGTTCTCATTTTGTTTCCCTTCCATTTGTCTGCTTTCATGCTTGCTTTCATATTTAGCTTCTAACTGCTTGTTCTCGTTGTGTTTACTTTCCAACCGCCTGCTCTCATTTTGCGGAAATTCCATTTGTCTGTTTTCGTATTGCTGGATATCCATCTTTTGACTCTCAAAGTCTGACTTTTTCCGAAAAATCTCAGGATGGTTTTCAGGTTTAAATTTAAGAATTCCAACAGTGTCTTCTTGGGGAACACACACAAACCCGTCGTTATACTGCTTAATTTCTTCAGGTTTTTTGATGGCATCCAAATCCTGAGTTACTGTTGCCTGAGAGTCTGCTCTTCCTGCTTGCTGCAGATCAATACTAACCATCAACGCTGGTCTCGCCCCATTTCCTGCAGAACCTGTCTCCTGAGAAGCTGCTCTATTTCCTCCAGTAGCACCTCCAGACTCTGGTGGTTTGTTTTCTTGTTTTCGCTTCTTCAGAGGCTTATCTGCAAGTTAAGCAAGAAAAAGCACAAATTATATGTATAGACTGGTGAATGTCCAAGCAAGAATGTTCATGCCCCTCCACTCCCACCTATTAATCCTCCTCAGCATGTATGTGCACACACAACAAAATCCATTGAATTTAAAAGCAGGAACAGAACTTCTCTAGCTAATATTTGTTAATGTAGTCAGATTATCAATCATTGTCAGTCTGCCAATCAGTCATTAAAAAAACCCACCCTCAAAACACATGAAATCAAAGTTCCTGTATAATTCCCAAAAGAATCATCTAATAAAGCAGCTGCAATACATAAAGACAAAAAAACCCTCCTCACACGAAAAAAAAAGCCCAAACTAATCAATTATGCTTGAAGCAAATGTCTGCAAAGAGAAAGTTAAGGTGCACCTCCACAACCACTTTTTGAGGAATACTGCTATAAAAGATTCTCTTCTGCAGATTCAGCCTGCTTCATTACACATGAACTACGCAAGGATCTGCAATGATCAAGACAGAAGTTCTCCCTACTTGGGTTGGTGCATCAGTTGGACTTCACACATATTTTAGCGAGGGACACAAGAACAATGAACAAAAATTATTAAAGTAACTCCAACATTCCATGCTTCTTTTTGAAGCAAAGATGTATACAAAGAGTTGGAGTCTACACCATAACATGTACCTATCAGGCGGGGGGCCACTACACACTTGAAAGCTTGAGTATTTTCCCCTTGCAACCATAATGCTTTTCATGGATGAAATAAAAAGTTCAGTGATAGTTTTACGTAGTGTGAAGAGCCTGACTCTGAAATAAGCCTTTCACTTTACACTAAAAAAATCACTGAGAGTACAATGCAGAAAAATAAAATGAGCCAACCACACCCCCTGTGATTTGGTAGTATTCATAGAAATGAGAAGCCCAAGGAAGTATCCAAAACAGTATGTTCTGTTCATTTAAACTACAACCTATTTACATTACCAAGATGGTACTCTTAAAATTAATTTCTGCCATGAAAACCAAAAGCCATACCTGCACTAAGATTTACATTCTCATTTCTTAACTATCAGTGTGTAATTTTTCAAAAAAAAACAATGACTTTCTTTGGAATCAGGGAATACAACTTTAAGTCTAAGGAATAACTAAACATAGGTTGGAAATTCTGTTGTAGATCTGTTGTCAAAATGTCTAGACCACAAAACTCATTTTGTGCCTAGATTTGTGGTGCCTTATCACCAGATGCAAAGAGCCAGCTCTCTTTTTGGGAACAGAACAATGAATAGTTAAGGAGGATGCAATCAAGAAATTGGGAAATAAACTCTAATCAAAAAAAAAGCCATACCACCCTCTCAAACTGTAAACCAGAATTCTGACATATGACTTCTAATTTCTTCTATATTTGTAGAAGATTCTTAGTTAGAAAAATTAAAACTTTGAAGGATCATCTCCAAAATTAACATCAGAACACACTGTCAATTCCAGTGATGTGAACTGGCTTTTCCCCCATCATTTTCATTCTCAAATCTATTCGTACATCTCTAACTTCCTAAAACTCCAACAACATGGAAAACATTTAATGGTTGGAAGACAGTAAAGACAGATACAATAAACTCCATGCAGAAACTGGTCGACTGCAAATAAGGAACTTCTCAAAGTTCAACAAAAACCTGTAGAATGCCTGTCAACTTTATGATAGACATGTGAAGCAAAATAGATTTGCCAAGTCAAAGAATCAAAGGTGCAATTTCTTAGCATGGAGATTTTTGCTTTTTCTGTACTGTGACAACTGTTGTATTCATATGAGAACTTACAACCTACATGCAGTGACAAAAAATCTCTTTTCTCCCGTGACTAAGAGGGCTTTCACCTCACTGAGCTTCATGGTCATGAAGTAGAAGCTCCTAGACTACTAGGTTTCAAATGTGTTCGTTGCTTTCTTTTTAAACATACACGTTAATACACATACATCCACACATATCACTACTTTATTTCTAAATTAAAATTCTTTAAATTTTGAAACACAAATGGAGAAACTTCTGTTCTTAGAAAAATGTCAGTCAGCTTTTTTATTTTAACCCAGCAATGTCAGCCACACTGAAAAAACCCTGTAAAGCTCTGACGGTGGATCTAACAGTAGCCTTTAAGACATTACTGTTCTCAGTTATCTGCCCCATTTCTTTAACTGAGGTTATCGCCTGTAGCAGAAGGGAACACGCATTCAGATTTCCACAAGTGCATTTCACGGTCCAGTGCATCACCTTAAGGCACTAATGAAGATGGTTTGGCATTAACCTACCAGGCTGAACAAGTCAGTTAAGAGCCAAGGAAATGTTTCCCTTTGCTACTATAGTAGCAAGGCATATGGCCAGGAATTGTGATGCCTTAAACAGCTGTAGCTGGATCAACCAAAACTCACCTTTCAGAGCCCTCATGCTAAAGGCCCCAAGATTAAACCACCAAAACAACTCAAGTAGGACCAGTTTTCTCACTTGAACTTCTGCAACTGACCAGGCTCAAAATGCTGCTGCTCTTCATCATTGAAAACGTCAAATTGTAAGTTGAGAATATGTAAGCGGATTATCACATCACAACTTGCCATACACATTCTCTCGAAATACAGAGCTCTTCTGATGCATCTTCTTCATTTCTCTTGACAACTGAATACTGATGTTTTAGTAAGTTATTACAACCACAACCTGTTGACACCTTATCTGAGAAGAAAGGGACACCTTCAAAGTTTTCTTTTCCTAAATGGCAAGGTGACTGCGGAGAGAGTTACAGATTATTCACAGATTTCTTCATATTTCCAGTGCATCTTTCTTGATGGTGATCCTCAGAACTAGGCTTAATCATTACTGTTTTGCATCTAAGAGATTTCTGGATATGGGTCAAAAAAGCTGGCCTAAGTATATGAAAATATCAGGTTGAACTAGGGCATAAAGGTAGGATGAGTACACAGTACCACTATCTTCATCAAGTGTAATGAAAAAACTTCATTGAATGAGCACAAAAACTTTTTAAGTTGCCATGACAGCTGCACAAATCTGAAAGCTGAAAACCACCGCTGGGCTTCCAGGACTTTGTAAAATCTTAACTCACTTTGAACTATATGAGAATAATCAACAGAGAATCAGAGAGGTGAGAAGGGAGTAATTACCCTCTGAAAAAAGACATCTTCGTATCTTCTGTTCTGCAATGAAATATATGCAAAATTGCATACATCTACTATGTTAAGGCATGAGTCCAAATATCCCTTACGGTTTTGACGAACAAATGAACTTAGGAACTTTTACAACATCCATTCACATATACTTCATATCCTTCAAGGCACCAGCATCCAAGCTTCATCCACTTGAATCCATAGTTAGTATTTTTTTTTTTTTTATTATTATCAGGATCTAGGACTTTGCCAAAATATCAGACTAATGTATTTCTTTCAAATCTTGCAGAGCTAGATTCAAAGCTTGCCACAGTTCTGAACATGTAGGCTCACACACTCTTGAGACCGAAAAGTGTGATCAGCCTCTTTTTGCTTCACTCTTTGTAACAGTTTTCATAATAAAAGGAATATGTAGTAAGGCACAGAAGAGGTATCCAAGTTTGTTGTTTTCAGATTCTTTTCTTTTTAGAAACATTATTCCCCCCTCCCACTCCCCCACCAAGAATGCAGATATATCCATAACATATCTACATTTTGTTCAATTCCTTGAACACATTAATGACAGTTCAGAGCACAGTCTGATCCCAGTTATTCTCTTCTGTACATATCATTTTGGCTTGGCAAATCTGCATGCATGTTCTCTTCACATTGCAACACGCTCATCAAAAGGCAGTACCTTGGTACTTAAATCAAGATCTTAAGTTACCTTCTTCTAAAAAATAGTAGAGATGTTCTGTCAAATTAAATGGGTCACTGTGGTACAAGAAACAAAACATTACCAGAAACACAAGTTTGAAATAGAAAAAAAGATTAGCTGGATTTCCAAGCGCTTATCATCTTATGAACAGTATTACTGGAGACAGGTTGTGGGCTTCATCTTTGGAAATATCTGTGTGTCAAAACAATCTTTCAGATTTAGAAATTAATGAATTACTGCGGAACCTTTGTGCAAAAAAACCACTGCACTGGAATAACCAGATACTTTCAAATACATTTGTGCTGCAACTGCGAGTCAGCGATGGTTTGAAGAATATCTGTCCTGAAAATGGATATGCTTGGAAGCTGAGCAAGTGTTAAGGACAGCTGCTGGATGAGGGCAGCTGTATTAAAGAAGCATCTCCATTCTTCCATTTAACCTGAAATCTTTCCAAAGCAGCAGCCAGAACACCACTAGTGATGAAGTCTCTGATGTTACTGCTTTCTTGCAAACCTGATGATTGCATTAAGTTCCAGATTAAACTCTTTCAACAAATTTCTAGAACTGCTTGTCCTAGCAAACTGAAATGGGGCTTTTGTAACTATCTGTGAAAAGGTACCAAGTCTGAATAATAACCATGTGCATGGTTGTTAAGCTTCATTTTAGCAGAATGGTAACACTCCACTGTATTAATACTGTTTGGTAGACTCTAAAATCCAGAGATTTCTGAACGATCTTGAATGATCTCGCAGACACAACAGATAAATTATCACCTCCCCGCTTACACCTTCTCAGGGATTCAATTGCAGGCTTCATATCCAAGATGATTAAAAGTAAATATACTCCTTTCAGACTGAAAAAGATCGATCCTCTAATGCTGAATTCTGGATGAACCATTCTGAACACTCCAGTATAAACTTTCTTTTTTTAAAGCTTAACGTTTCAGAGTTTTGTATTGCGAAGCTCTCACACTCTTCAGAGATTACTGGGATATGCCTCCACTCATTTGAAATACTACTTGCTTGAATTATTTAAATCAGCAATGAATAAATTTAACCCAGATATACCAATCTTAAGCAGTTATTACTTATTGTCAAACCTTCAATTTTTAAATAACATCAGAGATAAGTGAGACAGAGGCCAATTACAACCTTA